AGGAAATACTTCTGAAATCCCCATATTCTGTGAAATGCATTGAATACTGTGCAAGATATCATTATGAAAGGAATCTGAAGTTTTATTTATTACAGTATTTGTTATTTTGGTTCTGGAGACTAGCCAGTGACTCTTAGGGTTCAGCTGACTGCATGCTGTCACAGCACAGTCTAAAAAAGGGGAATGTGGGTGTTTAACCCTGATTCTGTATTGAGATGAGACCTATGTGCACATCAAAAACCTTGCCCCAGGGATTTTGAGCAGAGGGGCAGAGGCTGAAGGGTGTCAGCTACTGAAAGCTGAGGTGCACAGTAGTGCCTTAGTCAGTTTAGTTAAAGCCTGAGAAACCCTAGGAAATCTGTGCAGACCTCAGTCTCCTGGGCTCATATAATTTATATTTGTGTTTGGTTTTCTTGTGACTGTCCATGACCCAGACAAGCAGGTCAAAAAAAATTGAAATCACATTAGAGTTTGCTATTCTACCCTGGAGCAGAGAAGACTTTTCGGCCATGTCTCGTATTTCCCCAGCAGGTACAGAATTAGTATAGAGCTACTGACATACACATCTGCTCAATTTGAAAAAGTGCTAACTGCAGATCCTGGAAAACATCAGGTTAACCCTGAAGGTCTGATTCGTAGGCTGTTTAAACATCTTCAAGTGTGGCTTGGGGCATAGATTTATAATCAAGTACAAGCAGTGTTTCTAGTAGATACACATCCATGTTACCTTCAATCTGCATTTACTTCAAAGGCCATAAATGTCTCGTTAGCCTCAAATTATACTCCTCTGCTAATAAAGAAGTCATATATGAATGTATGTGATTTCAGATCTTCTTTGACTTCTCTTTGTGTGTTTTGTTGCCAGAAGTTGCAAATTTAAATTGAATATTTTGATTTGGATTGATTGTTTTTGATGGATTGAGTGGGTGATGCTTCCAACTAGCAAGTTTTTGCAGGCAAGTTTGTACACATTTTTCTAACACTTGAAGCAGCAAAAAAAAAAAAAAAAGAAAAAATGTGGAAAAATTACAAGACTATTAGTGATAATAAATAAAGGCATGACAAATACATCTCTTTCTGTAGGCTCAGATGTAAAGGTGTATTAAATAGCTGACTGGATACATATAGATGTGCATCAAACTGGTTTTGGTATAATATCTAAAAACATTCTAAAATGCATAGTTTTCTATTAAAGATTAATCTTTAATTGCAATCTGTGACTCTCTGTTTACATCTTCCAGCCTTTTTAATGATGCACAGAGCAAAATCAGCTAGTTCATGAATGAATAGATAGCATCTCTTCCTTATATCTTGATATTCTTATCAAACATTATTTCATATATCTTTTTGTATGAATGTGTATGTATTTCATGTGTGAAATTAACCTTATGAAAATGGTAATTTCCCTAGTAATAAGTCAACAAAATGAAAAGTGGGCTATTTTCTGCCTAATACTGTCTTTGGAAAGCAATTTTCTTCATGAGACTTCTGTTTAAAGGCTTATTGTATTCAGTGGTCATACAAAACTTATTGCTTATGTAAACTTTTTGGAGTGATCTGTTTAATAAGAAATTATTAAAAACTTTGATTGCTTCTGTTGCCTTTTAACTGGCTAACAACAATAATGTTTAGCAACCAGAACATGTTATAATAAATAGTGGGTTTATTCTGACTTATCATCTTAGAATTGCTCTTTTATGGAATACATGTTGCCTGTGTTAATGCACTTGTCACTACCTGGTGTTTGTTTATGTTTTTGCACTGGTTGGCTGCAGGTCTCTTATAGGTCACACAGTGGGGCTGAGAGAGCTGGTTATATTCTGTGTGTTAGCCAATGGTTTGTTTCCTTATGAATTTAAGATCCTTAAAACCTAAATGTCTATGTGTGCATGAATCAGAAATGCAAACTTTGTGTATGCTCCTGTAAAGGTACAGGGGGAAATAAAACACATTGTATGAGTGTATTTAATACCCACAAAACTAACTTTTGTTGGTCTAATTTCGTGGATAAGGAATCAGATGGCAAATTCAGTTCCAGGTCGATAATGAATGTTTCCCTTTTCCTGTCCTCAAAATAACAGTACATAACCAGATATTTGATCCAAAGACACCCTGTAATTAATATAGATAAATATTATTTATCAAGTCATATTTTTGGCAGTTGCCTATTATCTCTAGTGTGTGTATCAACTGAGGATTTCCACTTTACTTCATGTTGTCATTTTTCGTTCTCTCCATGCTGGTTATGTGTTCACTTTTGTTTATTTGTCATTCCCATTTTCTTTTCTTGTTTTGTTTCCCCTTGTTTTCATTTGCTGTTTGCCCAAACAAGTTTTTTTCTCTATCCACTTTTCATCATCTAGATCACTCTCTTTCCTTCCACCTTGTCAATTTTCTCAGTGCTTTATTCCATATTTCTTTTTTTCATAATGTTATTACAAACTTCCGCAGTATGGGTATCAAGGGAATAGGATCTGTTGCTCCTCCCTGAGCACAGATTAAATCCTCCGTTGGGTACAACTGGAAAGTCTGCTTTGTGCTTCATGGTCAGAAAAGCGTACCAAAGTCAGGATGGGAGAAAGCATGAGGGAACACTACCCAAAATCAACTGCCTGCTGCTGATTTCTCTTGTTAAAGACAGTAGCAGATATCAGAAGAGAAGGTGGTGCTTGAGGAGGAATTTCGGATGACCAGTAGCCAGCCGACCACTCTCGAGTGCTAGGGAGCGGCTGGAGTGGGGCTTCCCCGTGGGGAGGATGGCCTAGGAGCTGCGGGCACTGCCGAGCTGGCGGGGCAACACTCTTGCTGATGGGGAATCCTAAAGCACCCCATCGGGGCTGGGCTGGGGACAGGGACTGGACCCTGCCACCATCCAACAATCATCAGGCCAGGCAGGGTGACAAGTCAGGTTGACTGGGGACACAGTCAGGGCAAGATCCAGGCTGGACATGGGTCTGGGTACGGGGCTGCCTACAGCATAGCTCGGGTAGGGACTGATGGCCATGGTGGTGCCCTTGAGGACATGATGCTTAGAGCTGTTACTGATTTGTCCTTCAGAAATTATACTTATATTGCAAATCCTTTGGAGGCAGCATCTGAACCTATTATCTACCAGCGAAAATGTCAATAGAAATTTTGGTTGACCATAAATAATACTTATCTGCTATTTTTCTGACCTCTGGTGTTCATCCATTTCAAAAATTTCGTGGTATGAGTGCTAAAATGAAGTCATCGAAGAATTCCAGCAGTTTTGAGAGAATGAAAGATCTTTCTTTCAAACGCCTTTCCTTGTCTAAAAGAATCAGCATAGATGTCTTCTGTGGTTGTTTTTGGGTTGTTTGTTTTTTTTTTTTGTCTGTATTTTTGTTGGGGTTTTTTGCAATTTGAAATCATTGTCAACAGCTACTTACCTTGGTTTATTTTGCTCTTGAAAACTGATTTTATATCTTCATAAGACAGAGTCCTGACTGAAAACAGGACCTAGTAGTACACTTATATAAGTTTTATATATAAATGTGTGATCATCCTATCACATGTAAAGTATCAGTATCAGTTTCCTACAAGGATTTTTTTAGCTGTGGAATAGTTATCTGTAGTTTTGAGTTGAATAGTGGGTAAAAAGAAACTTCATTTCTTTGGACAGGGAGGAAAATGTAAGTATTAACAAGTGCTGTGTGTTTATTTATACTACTTCTAATGTTTAGCATATATACATATGCGACGTGTTTCATTAAAAATTAACAGAATTATTGTACGTATTGCCTTCTGTCTAAAAATTAAAAGTAGGAGCATGCAAGAGGCTAACGTTACACAGCTGTAACATTATGTAGATCAAAATCTGACTTTTGAGAGTTTGTGTCATGCTTTTTTTTTCTTTTCAGTTTCCATAGTTTCTTTTTGTCAGACCTAGAGCAAAGAAAACAGATATGAAAAACAATAACTTTATATCTAATTTTGACTAACTATTCTCACACTTGATTTGAACTAATGTAATGCTATTACACTGACTGGAATTTCTGAATTAGATGGAGGAAAATTAGTTTGTCATACACGAGACTAGGCATACCTGTGAAAAATACTACATAGAAGTCATATCATAACAAAGAGATTATCCAATGCAGCAAAACATTTAATGAATGTTTCCTATGGGAGTTCAAATATGCTTTAAAAAGGAGATGCTGTTTATTTGGGGCAGAAAATTCCCTGGAGCTAGCACTTAAATGTGATACCCTTCCAGAAAGCAGCAATGTTTGGTCTGTGGTTTGGTCTGGAAGCTATACAGAAGCAGAAATATTTGGTTTGCGGTATAACCTTTGACAATCTTGTGGCTTCAATTTTCAGCTCTCTTGCCTAATGCATTTTTGGAAACACATAGCAAACCATGGTGCCTAAAGTTAATAAAACATTTGTGGGCCTTGGTGGGGAAGTAGTGTTTGAATTTAACTGTTTGGTTTGGGTTTTTTGGTGGTTTGTTGTGGCTTGTGGTTTTTTTGTTTGTTTGTGGTTTTTTGTTTGTTTGCTTGCTTGCTTTTGGTTTGGTTTTTTTTATTATTATTATTATTTTAGATTTATACCAATATGAATATGTCTATTGATTTGATTTGCTTTTTTTTCTTTCGGCCACAGGCTGACTGAGTGGGCTGGACTTCACCAGAAGGAGCCATTTTGCTGCAGAAGTGGAATAACTGCGGATCTCTCCCCACACTGCTTGCTGGGAAGTGCTGTGTGTTGCCAGGATTAAGTCAACGCTGAAATCTGGGATGGGCCTGAGGGGCAAACACTCCCTTATTTCCTCTGACACTGGGATTTGTCTACGGTCAGTCAGCTGAGGCACCTACCACACGTCAGTTCTTGGGTTTTTGCTGCCTGAGCAAGGTTACGTTTTCCCTCACTTCATCTCCCTTTGACTACTTTTTTATTTTATTACTTTCCATTTTCCTTGACTGATTAATTTTCTCCTGGCTGTGGAAAAAAGAGCCCTGCTGATGTTGATTTAAATAATGTCGAAACCAATGGGACTCCTATGGCTGCCTTTGATCTTCACCCCAGTGTGTGTCATGTTGAATTCTAACTTCCTCCTGTGGATAACTGCACTGGCTATAAGATTTACTCTCATCGATGGCCAAGCACAATACCCAGTTGTTACCACAAATTATGGCAAAATACGTGGTTTAAGAACACCTTTGCCTAATGAGATCCTTGGTCCAGTGGAGCAGTACCTGGGTGTTCCTTATGCCTCTCCTCCGACTGGGGAAAGGCGTTTTCAGCCCCCGGAGCCACCGTCATCTTGGACGGGTGTCCGCAACGCCACACAGTTTGCCGCCGTCTGCCCGCAGTACCTGGATGAGAGGTCACTGCTCAACGACATGCTGCCAGTCTGGTTTACAGCCAATCTGGATACTGTGGTGACATATGTTCAAGATCAAAATGAAGACTGTCTGTATTTGAATATCTATGTGCCCACAGAGGATGGTAAGTACTCTCAGGACCATACCACAGTGCACTCACCGACTCTGCACAGGAGTAGTAGCCAGGTCTTTAAAGCATCTTCCTCAGTTTCCTCCATGTTTTCTCTCTAGAAATGGATTGTGCCTCTGAACACACATTATAAGTAGTACTTTGCTTGCATGAGTTCTCTCTCGTGTTTCAGTGTAACACCAAACTGCAATTTCCTTTGGAGGCAGTGGCCAGGGTACGTAAGCCAGCCTTAAGTTTACATCTGAACTACAGCTGAGCATCATTCACAAGAGAGGAAAGGGGAAATAAACATTAACATACATATTTTCCCATGTATGAATGGTAAAAATACTGCCACATACTAATTTTTAAAGGAGAACTTCCCTAATTCTTTTTTCTTTACTTTTATTATAATACCTCTGAGCCTACTGGTAACTGCTTGATTTTAACAATAACAATAAAAAGTTCAGTCTGCATTTTTTTTTCCCAGGATTTTTACCTATGAAACTTTTCATTCCAACTTATTTTTCTTCATTTACTAGATTTTAAATGAAGTAAACGTGGTTTTATTATGCAGAGCTGAACAGGTGGCCTTAGACTTTCATCAGTTTTCTGCAATCCTTTCTCAAGAGGGCTACTTTAAACTACCTTCTGTAGACAAAAAGGATGAACATGATTGGTAGCACACAGCTCTCTGAATGTTTTCATGATCTCAATCTTAAAAGTTCTAGCTTTATGGCATGCTGAATGTATCTTTTTTCATTCTGAATGGTATTGCTTCCTACAGACAAGAAACCTGTTTTCATCAGGCCCCAAATGAGTTAAGTTCATTCTCTATCACAAGGAAATAAAAAATTCTACTGGCAATTATATTTAATATTCTGCTAAAAGCCAGTTCTTTCAGCCACTTAGAATGTAGTTACCGATGCATAACGTGACGGATTTCTCCCAGATATGCAAATCCCTTCACTTTAGCTGAGGGTTTGATTTGCATAACCAAGGCATTGTTATTTCTCAGTAACCATACTCTAAATATGCAAATTTTGTACTTTGATTATTATAATCCTTCTGCCTTGATTGGTTTCTTTACTCAGAATTTCCAGGCTGTTTGCCAGCAATAAACATACCACCTTCTTTTCCTGTTCTCATCAGCTGAAGCAAAAACTTGAAAGCTAAAAATAAAGGGGTAAGGTTTGGGAATACTGGGAGCTCTGAAAACATAAATACTGCCAAGCTGCTTAAATGAAAAGTGCTCTGAAAGAAGAGCTGTGTGTATGGGGGCTCTGTGTGCGCATGTGTGTGTGTGTGTGTGTGTGTGTGTGTGTGTGTGTGTGTGTGTGTGTGTGTGTGTGTGTGTGTGCACGCATGCGTGTCTGTAGACGAAGGAGTAGATCTTTCCACTCAGTTCTTTCCCTCTGCCAGTCTCATTGCACTGCATCTCACTCCTTGGATAATAACATAGATAATTCTTTCCCAAATTTGTTTATGTTCTGGACTTTATCCTGCAGTTTTTAATTGCTCGCTAGGGTAAGTTTGCCCCGAGAAAGTATTTCAGGTTAAGATTTTATTTGTTCTCACTGAAGAAGTATCAGCTCTGCTAAATCAGTTTTATTCTAATGCCCAGTGGTGATAAATTCTTATATTCCTCCAATTTAGTAATAAGAATTTTCATCCATTAATTAAGGAAGACAGGAAATTAGACACGGAAAAATAAATACAAATGTTTAGGAAAAAGATATTTGGTATCAAATGGGTAATAATAAAATACCGTGTGCTGAATGACTTACAGCCTATAAAATTCCTCATCTTGCATGTAATAGCTAACGGCATTTACTGTTAGATTAAAAATAGAAAGGACTGATAAATTTAATTCTACCTGTTGTAGACCTTTTTGTCCATTTGATTCTGCAAAAAGTGTGTCTTACTCTTCCTCGTGGTTTTAGATTACTTTTTTTAAACTAAATAGAATGTAAATGGAGGCTATTTTCTGTTACATATCCTCTTCAAAATGTAAACCCATGCATAAAAGAGTATGTAGCTGAATAATGAGAGACAAGGTTTGGTGTCAGTGATGAGCTGAAGGCAAGATTCCTCCTTTACAGTATGACAACCATTTTTAACAGGTTCCAATGAGAAATGAGAAACTTAAAAATGAATAAATGGAGTACATAATGTTTTAATTGTATGCTGTATATCTTATCCCTGGTTAAATGTAACTCAGTGTGACTTTTTTGGTGAGGAAAATATTCAACCTTCTGCTCATAAAGATGGTTAAGGAGAACTGACCTACAAATCACTCCTAAGTTAGTGTGTTTCCAAATCATACTAAACATAAATAGCCTTAAATTGTAGTCTATACAATCTGATTAAAGACATTATGCTTCATTATATGAGTCTTAGTTGGGAAAAATAATCTACATTGTTATGGAGACAGACCATGAAATTAGTTTCTGAAACAAGATCTCAAAGTGAGTGACTGAGTTAAATTCACAGTTTCAATTCTTTCTCAAGCGCAGATTTATTTAAAAGAGCTTTGAAACTGTTTTGTGTCTGGAAAAAAATGGTGGATGGAATCATCCAAACCTAGTCAATGTTCTGACTATGAAACTTAATCTGAATCATTTTATGCTATCTTTTTTTTTTAAATTGATGAAAAGAATTGATGAATAACTCTAATTAGTTAACTGTGGTCACATGCAGTGCTTACTTCAAATCCATTTTTGTGAATAACTAATAAAAATGCAACTCAAGTTTAGTGGATTTTTTTTTGTTTTATTTTGTTGGGGGGTGAGGGGGGTTGCACTATGTAATATGACCTCTTACTTCTCACTTTCATGGTCTGGTCAAAGGAAACCAAATTTTAATCATGTACTTTGAATAAAGAACAGAACAACAAATGCACACATGCATCCATCTGATTTCAGAATTGCTTCACTGGAATTCTGCCAGTATAAACTAACGGAAATAAGAGTAGAATACAGTCCCTTTAACTGGGTAGATAAGATTAGTTATTTATAATAAAATAGTTTGAAATGTTGCTGCTTTTGTCTGAAGAAGTACACTGAAATTAAATGATGTAAAATTCCATAGTTCCTTAAAATAGTTAAGGCATCTAGGGAAAGAAATTAAATACACTGTTACACAGTTTGTATCTGCATTAATCATAGCCTTTCTTTTGACCCATAAGATTCTGGATTTTAAATGTCAAATAGCAGCAGAATCCATCAGAATTTTCCATGTTAAAATATTCTTACAAAGTAAAAATTATCTTTGTTTTGGGGAGCTTTCTTTCCTTCATTTTAGGTGAAAATGTTATTTATGATAGAAATCAAAGCACATACCTAACAGAATATCTCTGCAATTCTGTCCATGTGGATTTTTTCTTTTTTTTTTTTTTTTTTGCTGCTGTTCACTGGACAAATAGTTTGTACTGACACTTTCCTTAGAGTAACACTTATATTTCAGAGAATCTAGGGTAGCTGGAGAATTTAAATGTCTCTATTCCTTTGCCTTTGGAAAGGAAAGAATTACAACCATTATAATCCATCAAGATTTTTTTTTTTTTTGTCATAAGAATTATAAATAGTAATGCAGTTATTTTGAAGAAACACATCAAAAGCAATAAAGATAAAATTTAACAAACTGCTTTTATTTTATATGTCAAACCTATAATGATAAGAAATTACCCAGAACTGAAACAAATAAAATATAGTAAAATTATCATTTTATCCAAATGGCTTTCTAAATATTTGGTTTGATCTTCAGAATAATTTTTGAGGGTATATATTGTCTTGTCTGCTTTTCCAGTTACTATAAACAGTAATTTTCCACAAGAATACTTGAATGTCAGTTTTGAGGAGGTCATCTAGGGAAATGATATTGAGGACAGTCTGTTTATTATAACTTCAGGCTGAATATGGGTTTATCTACAGTGGAAATGCTAGATTGAAGAGGACACAGACTGTTAATCGGCTGTGCTTAATCCCTGGCCTTTATCATTTGAATCTGTGGATGCTGAAGGAGATTGCTAACTCCTATCATAACTGAGGGGGAAAAAAATATAACAAAAATCAAAGGAAAAAGACTCTTAATTTGGATTTCTTTCATGATACATTTATTAAATTATATTAATAGCAAGGCAAGAGATAGCAACAACAAAAAAAATACAACATGAACAAATCTTTTTTCGTTTGTTTAGTTAAAACCTGCTCTGTTCAGATCAAAACAGAAAATAAAATAAAAAAGATGACTTTTTGTTGTCTTTGTATGATCAATTGTAAGCATACATAATTTACTTATTTTGGTATATGGATAGAGGGTACATTTTACGCAAGTGGGTAGCTACTCAACCACTATATATCACTTAGGGATTAATTAATGAAGTATTTGACATCTTCAGAGGTTTGCTCACTAAAAATGCTCTGTAAGCTCTTGTCTCATTTACATCACAATAAATACAGCTGATGTGACAACAAAAGGTGGTAAGCCATAACACTTATTAAGGCTGAATGGGTAGGTCATATTTTTTTTTTATTAGATTAGAGAAACTGAGAACATTGTCCAGGATTAGTGATGTATTTAACTGTGGGCTGCCAGGAAGAAAAAAAGTCTCGGGCAAGAGCAAAGAGATCAACAGTGTTCCTTCTCTGGGCAGTGATGTGAAGGAAAGGTACCTGAATCTTTAGGCTCTGTGTCTATTTGACTAAGAAATAAAGGAATTAAAAACTTGAATAAAGTTGATAAAGAAGATGTGCCTTTGGTGGTTTCTACAGCTTGTATACTGTGCCATTTTTTCATATTAGGCAAATGTCTGCTTAGTATATAACTCAGTGTTTGTGGCCTTCTCCTTGCAATTGCTGTTGGATTGCTACATCTGTTTAACCTGGAAAAAATATTTTTATCAAAAGCATACTGATAAAACTTAATTGATAAAAAATTGGGTTTTTTCCTCTTTTTTTTTTTTTTGAGGGGGAGAAAAAGATAGTAGAAAGACAAATCCCATCTTTACAATTATT